GTGATGTGACGTGACTCTGGATGATCAGCTGTGATGTGACGTGACTCTGGATGATCAGCTGTGATGTGACGTGACTCTGGATGATCAGCTGTGATGTGACGTGACTCTGGATGATCAGCTGTGATGTGACGTGACTCTGGATGATCAGCTGTGATGTGACGTGACTCTGGATGATCAGCTGTGATGTGACGTGACTCTGGATGATCAGTTGTGATGTGACGTGACTCTGGATGATCAGTTGTGATGTGACATGACTCTGGAAGTTCAGCTGAGACTTGATGAGGCTCTGGAAGATAGGCTAAGATGTGACGAGGCTCTGGAAGTTCAGCTGAGACGTGACCTGATTCATGAAGATCAACTGTGCCTTGACTTGACTCAGGAAGATCAGCGATGACTTGACTTGACTCATGAAGATCAACTGTGCCTTGACTTGACTCATGGATGGTGGCTGTGACATGACAAAGCATTGTTGTCGCCGCCATTTTGTGAACGGACTCCACTGTTGCCGCCATTATAGGAACGGACGTGACGTCGCTTTCCTCCTCCGCAACACCCATTGTGAATGAGGAACTGACAGGAAACAGAGCATAATCCATAAACTGAGCGAGTAACGAATGCGGACCCTCGCGTCTAAACTCAGATTGTAGAGGTTGATTAATGCCATCACAAAAAAACTCTATCAAAAGACAGTCCGGTAAATCGGAATAGTGCGCGATTGCTAAATATTCTCGAATATAGTTCTCCAGTGATCATGGGCCTTGTTTAAGGGCTAATAATATTTGTGCTGTGTCCATACCTGACCATTGTTCCTCTGAAAAGCTGCTGGATCCTTGTGTGGCCGAGTATTCTGTGATGGAGCCGACGAGACGAGAGGCGTGCAGATCCATATGCAAGCTTTTATTAATAAACATGGTCAAAAATACAGGCAGGGTCGAACAACAGCAAACAGGTATGTCACAGGCAAGAAAAAAAGAGCAATCCAAAACGGGCTTGAGTCAGACGACAGCGAACGTTATCCAGAGGGCTTGACAAGAGAGGTAATCCGTAAACTTGAGCAATAGTCCAGGCGAGGGGCAAACACAGTCCGAAAACAGCAAGGCAAAAGGAAAATCCAAGATACGCGGGCAAGAATCAGAAACCAGGAAACACGAGACTAGACTAAGACTAGAACTAGGAACTGAGAC